CAGAATATTTTACTGCCCCTGTATAAAACTATGGTACGCCCACATCTTGAAGACTGTGTACAGATGTGGTCTCCTCACCTCAAAAAAGATATTTTGGCCTTGGAAAGGGTTCAAAAAAGGGCAACTAAAATGATTAGGGGTTTGGAACGGGTCCCATATGAGGAGAGGTTAAAGCGACTGGGACTTTTCAGTTTAGAAAAGAGGAGACTGAGGGGGGATATGATAGAGGTCTATAAAATCATGAGTGGTGTGGAGAGGGCTGATAAATAAATTTTCTTTATTAGTTCCCATAATAGAAGAACTAGAGGACACCAAATGAAATGAATGGGTAGCAGGTTTAAAACTAATAAAAGAAAGTTCTTCTTCACACAGCGTGTAGTCAACCTGTGGAACTCCTTGCCAGAGGAGGCTGTGAAGGCTAGGACTATAATAGAGTTTAAAGAGAAGCTGGATAAATTCATGGAGGTTAGGTCCATAAAAGGCTTTTAGCCAGGGGATAAAATGGTGTCCTTAGCCTCTGTTTGTCAGAGGCTGGAGAGGGATGGCAGGAGACAAATCGCTTGATCATTGTCTTCGGTCCACCCTCTCTGGGGCACCTGGTGCTGGCCACTGTCGGTAGACAGGATACTGGGCTAGATGGACCTTTGGTCTGACCCAGTACGGCCGTTCTTATGTTCTTAGGGAAAAGGAGGTAGGTTCAGCTAAAATATGAAAAGGACAAGTTAAAATTACTTGAGTTAGATGTCAAGTCACCAGAACTTGATGAAATGCATCCTAAAATATTTGAGCTGCCTGAGAAGATATCTGAGCCATTAGTGATTATCTGTGAAAAGTCATGGAAGACAGGCTTTGTTCCAGAAGATTAGAAAAGGGTAAATAGTATCCCTTTATAAAAAGGGAAATGAGGAATTATACAAAGGCATTATATTCAACTTAACTTCTGTACCAGGAAAGATAATGGAGCAAATAGTGAAACCACTTGCAGACCTCTAGAAGATGACAACAACAGTGTGGATTTGTCAAGAACAAATTGTGTCACACCAACTTGATAGCTTTCTTTGACAGGGTAATGAGCTTTGTGGCTGGGGGGAAAGAGGTATATCTTGACTTAGTAGAACTTTTGACATTGGCTCCACGAGCTTCTCATATACTAGGGAAATGCAACCTCGATGGTGCTACTATAACAGTGGTCCCCAAAGTGGTTCCCGCCGGGCCATTTCTGTGTGCCCGCCGAGTGATCGGGCTGGCCCTGCCCCCACCCCCAGGCACGTGGCGCATGGGTGCTGCCAGCTCCTGGGTGTGCGGTGTATGGGTGTCCCCACCCCTGGGCACATGGCACAGGAGCGGCACCAACCACAGGCACGCAGTGCATGGGTGCTGCCGGCTGCTGAACGCACAGCACAGGAGTGGCGCTGGCCCCGGGCATGCAGCACATGGGCTGTTCCGGCCTCAGGCACGTGGAGCATGGGTGGCCCCATCCCGGGGTGCGCGGCACAGGAGCGGCACTGTCCCCGGGCGCATGACGTATGGGCAGCCCCACCCCTGTGCGTGTGGCACAGGACCGGCGCCGGTCCCGGGAGTGCGGTGCATGGGTGGCGCTGGCATTGGGCACGTGGTGTATGGGTGGTCCAGCCCCCAGGCACCTGGCGCGTGAGTGGCCCCGCCCCTGGGTGCCCGGCACGTGAGTGGCCCCGTCCCCAGGCGCCTGGCAGCCCCGAAAGGTTGGGGACCACTGTACTACAAGGTGGGTGCAAAACTAGTTGGAGAATTGTTCCAACAGAGTAAACTTAAAAAACAACACAGTCTGGTAGCACTTTAAAGACTAACAAAACATGTAGATGGTATCATGAGCTTTCATAGGCACAGACCACTTTTTATCAGTAGTTCAGAGTCATGCTCGAAGGACATAATGAATGGGGTATCTCAGGGATAATTTCTGGGTCTGGTTCTATTCAATATAGTCATCAATGATTTAGATGGTGGCATAGAGAGCACACTTATAAAGTTTGCAGATGAAACCAAGTTGGAAGGGATTGCAAGTGCTTTGGAGCAAGGATTAAAATTCAAAATGATATGGAGAAATTATTTGAAGAAAATATAAAAGAAATTCAATGAGGACAAGCTCAAAGTACTCCACTGAGGAAGGAACAATCAGTTGTGTACACAAAAAATGGGAAATGGACTGCCTATAAAGGAGTGCTACGGAAAGGATCTGGGGATCATAGTGGACTACAAGCTAAATATGAGTCAGTGTGACAGTTATAAAAAAAAAAGTCAACCTCATTCTGGGATGTATTAGCAGGAGTGTCGTAAGCAAGCTGAGGAGTAATTCTGATCTTCTCCAAACTGCGTAGTCCTGAACTGGAGTAGTGTGTTCAATTTTGGACACCACACTTAGGAAAATTGTGCACAAATTGGAGAAAATCCAAAGAGTAACACATGATTAGATGTCCTATAAGGGAAGGCTGAAAAAACTGAGTTTGTTTAGTCTAGAAAAGAGAAGACCGAGAGGGGACATGACATAGCTTTTAAGTACCCAAAGAGTTGTTACATGGGGGAAAGAGGGAAAAAATGTTCTCCTTAACCTCTGATGACAGGACAAGAAGCAATGGGCTTAAATTGCAGCAAGGGAGGTTTAGGTTGAACATTAGGAAAAACTTCCTAATAGTCAGCGTGGTTAATCATTGGAATAAATTGCCTAAGGAGGTTGTGGAATCTCCGTCTTTAAGAACAAGTTAGACAAACACCTCTTAGGAATGGTCTAGATAATACTTAGTCCTTTCATGACAGCAGGGAGACCAGACTAGATGATTTCTCAAGATCCATTCCAGTCTTACGATTCTATGGAAAGCCATCACCTTCCCTCATTTGTCAATCTCTGCAAAGAAGCTTAGGATTGACTAAGCATGAAGAGTAGAGTCCTGTCTTAAGGGGAGGAGCATCCATCTCAGGGCTGTAGTATGAGATTATTATATGGGAAGCTTCTGCTACTGCTGCCAGCATTGTGAATCAACTGGACTACAGGATTCTAAGCATGCCATCTTGTGCCAACATTAGTTTGCTTAAGATAGGATTTGCCCATACTGGTTCAAGTGTAGCACCCTCTATCTAGCAGTCCTTAACAGCAGAGGTTCAAAGACTATGACAAGCCGCATAATATGGCAGGACTATTTTGTCCCATGTTTTGTGATGGGGAACTAGTTCCCCATCTCTTAACATGCATCACATGACTATAGTTACTTCTACTCAAAACATTCTCAATTGGTTTTATACAAATACAAATTTCATGAGTTTTTGTAAGCAACTTGCCATTACCTCACCTTGTTTGTTCTGGCTGGCAGGACCATGGATTGAAAACTGCTTTAGAGTTGTACACTCTGCTTCACAGATTAGTGTCTTTAGAAGTGGCTGAATCTCATCCAAGCCATGCTGAACAGCTTCAAACAGCATTCTTCTGAGGAATCCAGTGTTGAAAAGGGACCCTGACCTGGACAATGCAATAGAACACCAGTGAAAATTAGACAATTGGCGCATGACAAAATATTTTGATTTACAGCAAAAGGTATTTGCTCCTTTAAAAATGATTTCCACAAACTGAGTAGCAGCTGAATTATACTTATGTGAACAAGGTACAGTAAAACCTGTGTTATCCGGCACGCTCGGGGATTAGGACGTTCCAGTTATCTAAAAATTCTGGTTATCTGAGGGTCCCATCAACCTAGGAAAAACCAATGGATAATAATAGTAAAACAAGTTTTTAATATTGGCAGTTTTGTAGTGTGAGGCAGTTGGTCTCACATTTCTATTTTGAGTTAAAGATGATTAAATAAAAACTTAAGCTAATCGTGGTAAATCAAGCCAGGCCTGTGTGCCTGAAGATGTGACAGTATTGTTGCTGGGGGTAAAGCCAGTTAAAGTTTTCTGGTTAACAGAGTGCCAGATAACAAAGGTTTCACTGTAGGTATTTTGTGCTACAATTAAAATTATTTTTGTTTTTGGTAGTAGCAGCTCAGGGTCATGGTGTGGAAGCCAAGAGCTTATGAATGTTGATCCCAGTTCTGCCATTGATTGGCTGTGTCAACTTCAGCAGTCACTTCATTTTACTTCCCCATGTGTAAAATGGGAATGATACCCATATCACAGGATGCACTGTCAAAATTGTGAGGGTGTTCTAATATATTTGGATCTAGGAAAATGCTAAGGATTAGTTCTGTTTATCTAGTTCTGAAATGCTCACATTAAATTTAACTTTTTTCAATTAAAAAAACAAAAAACCCCAACCCCATTACTGACCATCCTCAAACAGTTCAATTTATTTAATGCTACTGGAAGTGCAAGAGTATTTGATATAATATACATGGCTCAACAAATAAGTTATCTACTCCCGTGGTGTTCAACATGCTAGCCATTAGCCACATGTGGCTATTTGGCCAGTTTAGTGTTGCTAGTTGGCCTGAAGAAAAAAAAACTCAAATCATTGCATTTAAAAAAAATTAAATCAAAATCCAAAAATATTCAGAGAATTAAAAAAGGTCATAAGATCTGAGGTCTAATGTCACTTTCTGTTAATTTGTCCCATCTGCTAGATGGAGATGTCCACCATTTTGCAGAATAGCTTAAATATGCTGCTTAGGCCAGGAATCATCATGCATCATCATAAGCCGGGGCTAGTATTTCCGGGTACTAGTTTTCCACTGGTATTTATCATCAAAGCCTTTCTGAAAGTACTTCTGAGTTCTCAGTGTGAAATTATTTGTTCTTGTACAAAGCAGCTCCGTTTTCAATTGGCCAGTCTTCTCCTGGCATTCATTTCAACCTTCAATTTAAATGCATGTTCATCATGGGCACACAATTAGGTTCAAATGTTGGCTGGTTAGTGGCCAAAAATTTGGTTCAATGAATATAGCAATGTATATAAAAATTTCTTCTCAAAGGCTTTTTATTTTTCTTTTGCTGCTGTTTATGGCCATTCGAAAGAATAAAATCCAGCATACAAGCACACATTTGAAGAAAAGTTTGAATTGTATTCCTGCTTTTGAAAATTAAAAAAACCCCAAAACTTTAACAAGTTTAACACGTCTAGAGACTAAATTTTAAGAGTTAGGGTATTTTTGGCCTCTGACAATATTGCTTATTTCTGCTTTGTGCTGAAATTGAACAATATTAATTCATTTTTCTAGAACTGCATCCATGGGATCAGTTTGTTATTAGAAAGCATAATTCTGAAGCAGGTGAAAGCTGAGTCAAACAATGCTGTCAACAATAAATCATCGACAGAAACTGCAGCAAAGAAAGAGACTGGAAAGGCATCAAACAAATTTCAAAAGAAATGGGAATTGGAATATGCCGTCATTGAGGTGAATGAAAAGCCAACATGTTTGCAGTTTTGTACAACAAGACGACATTTCCAAGGGCAGCACAGTGATTTCGAGCTGATAAAATTGGTCAGCTGAAATTGGATTTTGAAAAGCAGCAGGTTTTGAAGTGGTTTCTATCCTCATCTGAACTGGTAACTTTGGTCATATATAAAGCAGTGTGGATACTTCCGCTGATCAAGAAGCCATTCTCAGATAGAGAAATGGTGAAGGAAATTACTCTCTCTGTCATGGAAACCTTGCCTGAAAATCATAACTAACAAACATGAAAATACATCTTGCAGAACATTTGCAATTTGCAGCTGAGTCACCAAACAGTTGCATGTTGGTTAAAAGATTTGTCTATTGATCTCAAAACCCTGTATTGTGTTAAACTTGATCAGTGTTTCACTTACTCATTGGCACTGGATGAGTCATGTGATATCAGTGATACTGTTCATCTCATCTCCTGGATTTGTCTTGTAACAGATTTCCAGATTCATGAAGAACTGCTATCATTGTGTGGGTTGAGAGATCATCCCTGTGCATCTGATAGATTCGATGCTTTCAAAAGTGTCTCAAATGATTTTGACTTGGATTTAGCAAAACTGGCTTCTGTTACGATTGACAGTGTGTCAGCTACGTTGGGAAAAAAATTTGGATTTGTCTTTCCTCTGAAATAGCATCACTACACAGCTTTTCTGCCATTGTATTTTGCATCAAGATATCCACAACAGATACTCTGAAAGACTTGATGAAATCATGAATTTCATTTGCAGCAGTGCTCTGAACTAATCGCCAATTTGTGGAATCATTGAAAGAAAGAAATTGAATCTGAGCATTCTAAAATCATCTATTTTGCCAGTGTGCGATGGCTGAGTCATGGAAAGGTGCTCGAGCAGTTCCTTGCACTTCTTACTCCAATCAGAGACTTTCTTGGATAGTTGGACAGAAAGCTGGACTGTTTTTCTGCTACTGAAGATGAGCAGAGGCAATTTGATTTGCAGTTCCTGACTAATATCACCTGTCATTTGAATTAACTGAATCTAAAACTTCAGGAAAAAGGGAAGCTGATTTTTTTTATATGGCCCGGCACATTCGTGAGTTCATTTCTAAGCTACAATTATTAATCATTCAAATGAAGGCAGGAGAATTCATCCACTTCTCAAATTTGCAGAAAATTGCTGGAAATAGTGAATTTGAGTGTGATTACTTTGATTGTCAGCATTATATGAGATGGCTTAAAAACCTAGCAATGAAATTCAGCCAGCATTTTGCAGACTTTGAAAGATTCATGTTGGCATTTCAATTCATGTAAAACCCATTTCAGTTCAAAATTGCTAATGTTCAAGACCTTGTAAATTTGCTTGACCTGGACAAATATTTGTTTGAAAAAGATATGCTCACACTTCAAAGCCAGCTCAATCAGTCAAAAAAATGAATAATTTTTTACAATGTAGAATGCACTTTTGTGACATAATAAGTTTGATATTTTGAAAACTGCAGTTGCCAGACTTTATTCCATTTTTGGTTCAACGTGGCTTTGTGAAGCATCATTTTCTGTCTATATCAAGTCTAAGTACTGGTCACAGTTACTGGATAAAAATATGGAGGCCTAGTTGAGGTGTGCTGTTAGTGAATTTTTTTTTGCCAGATTTCAGAGATTTAGCAGTGAAACCAAATTGTCAAGTATCCCCTTGATTGAATTTCTGCAAAATGTGATGAGTTTGGTTGATTAAAACCAATGTTGAAGAGTTCTGTTGATATTAAAATACAAGATTTGGTATATTCTGAGTCTCATAAAATTATTTACATTTTCAGAATAACGTGGCTGATTCGCAACTGGTTGGACAACACCAATCTAGGCCCAAAACATCAAGCTACTCAGATTCTCCTATGCAGTGTAATTAATATCTCCAAGAAACTGAGAACTAGTAATTGTTTACTTAGTAAACTCACTGCTTGCTGTCTACACACATGCCTAGGAAAACTTTTTTTTAATTACTCATGCTCAGCTCTCCAAGTAAGTAACCAGCTGTCAAATCCATCTCAATTGCTAGATATGAGCTTACTGCTATAGGAACAAATGAGTTTTTACTTTTGTTAGGCTGTGTGCTGTACATACCACAAAGGACCAAGCTCTACTGCTGTCTTCCCAGGCATACTTCCATGGCAGTCACAAGATAGTTGCCGGTAAGGATTTTCTGTATCAGAAAACAGAATAAAGTTATGTTAAAATATAATCTATAAAACTCACTTTAACAAAATGAAATAGAGATGTTTTAGATACTAGAAATGGTGCATTCAACAAGTGATTCCTCCTAAGTAGAGGCATTTAATAGAACAAGCAACATCAGAAACCAAAATACCCAAACAACTGTAAAAAAAGCTTGACACCAACTTTTATTAATTTTGTCACAAGTGATTAAATGTAAAGTCTGCTGCCAAAAGGAATCTAAGAAGGGGCACTACAACGTTTTAGTTATTTTTAAATTAAAACAAAACCAGAACTCCATATTACCTGCTATGTTTTTTAAGTAAACTACTTCCAACTACTGGGTTAGAACTTTATACTGCAAAAACAAGTTTAAATTAAAAAAAAAAAAAAACTTTTCAAGGAAAATTATCATGCGAAAAATTAACTATGGTTATGTACGTGCCCAAAACTCAGTTCAATCATAGGATTTTCATGACACCCAGAGCTCAGCTCTTTATTACATATGTAGTAGGTTGAAGGATACTGAATGCAGTTAAGCATTTAAAATGTCAGTCGTAACACTGCATCTATGCAGCTGATAATATTTCTATTCTTAAGAATGAAAGGAAATGTGATACAGGTTGAACCTCTCTTGTCTGGTATACTCTGATCCTCCATGATTTTAGTTAGCTGGATGTCTGCTTATTATGGGTGTGGCCAAATTTCCTGTGGTCCCATAAAATTGTACAGCCGTCAGTCCTGGCTCTGTGTTCTACGCAGTTACTTAGCTCTAATTTAATCTAAGAGCCCAGTAGACAATGGAAGTGTTAGTAATGCTGCTAGATAATACTTAACTCCCATGGTCTAGCTCTAGCAAATTCTCTGGTTTGGCATCAATTGGGTGCTGGACTAGAGAGATTCAACCTGTACTTATTGCAGCTTAGTGCTCACCATGGCCTAAAAATGCATCACTGTCTTAAGGAGAAGTGTTAATACCTTAATAACTGAAGGCACCAGGCCTTTAGTTACAGTGAGAAATAAGGTAGGATTAGACATTCAAATAAGAAAGGACTAAATATTCTCTGGAGTTTTACAACTCAGTACATTCTCAAATTGAATAATAATCTTATGTGCTCTTCTTAAATATTTCAAATATGGGAAAGGCATTTGTCTGTATTAAGTACTAAATATTTGATTTATCTGAAGCTTGATTAGTAAAGATCTTAAGAAGAAACTCAATGTTTTTTTTTACATGTCAAATAAATAGTAGATTTTTTTTGTTAACATACTTTTCCCCCTACTTTATTCCTCCACCAAAACAGCCAACCACCACTAGTAGAGCAGAGAAGTATTATGAAAAATTCCAACAGAGTAATTTCTAAAAAGTTTTAATACAAATGGACATTTAGATTTTTGTCTAAATTACGACAGGTCATAGTAATCAAAGAACCATACTCAAATTCCATGAAGAAAAAGGCTCCTTAAGTAAAGGAAACATAGGATTTAGTAGTAGTAATAACAGAAGTAGCAGAATTTAGATATTTTGAAATAATATGGTGGGGGGGGGAAATGGCTTTAAACAGGTGTCTAACATGCAAAGACATCTGCTAAATTTACACCGATGGACACAGACAATTCTTTCAAAAGACAGATGGTAGGAATAGAAAACTCTAGGGACTCAAGGTATCTCTGAATGGATCATAATGAAAGATGCATTCATTTGGGCTCTAAGTCAGTCCTGTAGAAGCCTTTCTGTTCTGCATTAGAATGCCTTAGAATCATAGGCTAGAATACTAGAACTGGAAGGGAACTTGAGGGATTGTCAAGTCCCCTAACTTCGTGGCAGGACCAAGCACAATCTAGATATGGGGTGGGAAACCTTTTTTGGGTCAGGGGCCACTAAACCACAGATATATCAGTTGTGGGCTGCACAAAAGTGAGAAAAAAAGCACATACACAAAACCCCCATTGCTTCTTGTCCTATCATCAGAGGTCAAGGAGAACAATTTCTCTTTTCCCTTTTAGTTACTTGACATTTTTGTACTGTTTTGCTCTTTCCCCCAGTTTAGTCAACTAATCTCCGTGCTATCAGATGCAGAGATTCTGGGTCCAGATGTAACAATCACAGAATCATAGAGCTGGAAAAGACCTCAGGAGATCATCAAGTCCAGCCCCCTGCCCAAGGCAGGACCAATCCCAACTAAATCAACCCAGCCAGGGCTTTGTCAAGCTGAGACTTAAAACCTCTAGGGATGGAGTTTCCACCACCTCACTAGGTAACTCATTCCAGTGCTTCACCACCCTCCTAGTGAAATAGTTTTTCCTAATGTCCAACCTAGACTGTTTCCACTGTAACTTGAGACCACTGCTCCTTGTTCTGCCATCCGTCACTGCTGTGAACTGCCTCTTTCTGTCCTCTTTGGAACCTCCCTTCAGGAAGTTGAAGGCTGCTATCAAATACCCCCTCACTCTTCTCTTCTGCAGACTAAACAAACCCAAATCCCTCAGTCTCTCCTCATAGGTCATGTGCTCCAGCCCCCTAATAATTTTGGTCGCCCTCTGCTGGACCCTCTCCAATGCATCCACATCCTTTCTATAGTGGAGGGCCCAGAACTGGACACAGTACTCCAGGTGTGGCTTCACCAGAGCTGAATAAAGGGGAATAATCACTTCTCTAGATCTGCTGGCAATGCTCTTCCTAATGTACCCTAATATGCCATTAGCCTTTGTCATGATAATGAAGGTTAGCCAACAGCCTGGGAACTAAGGGGTTAACTATACCTAACCCAGGTAGAGCTGGCTAATAGGAATGTAGGTAGAAATTTCAAACTGGGACAAAGGAATTTTTGGTTTCTCGTTTTTTGTCTCTGGGGCAGTTTCTCTCCAGCTACTGAGGGAGTCAGATAGAATGTCTCCCTCCAAGAATAGACTCTTCCCTCTTCTCTAAGTAGGGTAAAGTTTAGATAAATCTGTTAGGTTTTATGGTTTTGGAAATGGGATCTGTTGTCTGTGCATTTAAAATAGGTTTTTCCTCTCTTTTGCAACTAAGCTTGTGCCCATGGTGGAATTCCACATGAGCAGGGCTTGCCAAGTGGCAGCGAGCCCCACTTGCCAGTTGCGCAGTTTCGCGTTCTGCGTATGTGCAGATTGCTCTGCACCGGCTCTTCCGGATTGTAATCTACTCGCCAGGGGCAAGTAGATTACATTATTTGTCGAACCCTGCTCATGAGTATATTACATTGTGACTTTTTCATCTAGTCGTTATGCCTGCAACAGGAATATTGGGGTGATAATAAAAGTTCTCTCTCTTTTCTTTTATTAACCTGGTATTGGTTAATTTTTGTGTTCTGGTTTTTACTTTAGGGGTGAGATTTCCCAAGTGATCTCTCCCCTAGTTTCCTTATCATTACTTGGGTGGTGGCAGTGGATTTTATCCCCAAAATCTAGGTTTTTAAGATTTTGGGGGGGAAGTTTTATACCAAAGCCTGGGAGGATAAGGTTTTGGGTTACTTTTGCAGGCCCCCACTTCTGCATTCATTGTGCCAGAGTGGGGAAGGAACCTTAACAGCCTTCTTGGCTACAAGGGCACACTGTTGACTCATATCCAGCTTTGAATCCACTGTAATCCCCAGGTCCTTTTCTGCAGAACTGCTACCTAGCCATTTGGTTCCCAGCCTGTAACAATGCTTGGGATTCTTCCGTCCCAAGTGCAGGACTCTACACTTGTCCTTGTTGAACCTCATCAGATTTCTTTTGGCCCCAATCCTCTAATCTGTGTAGGTCACTCTGGACCCTATCCTTGCCTCCAGCATATCTACCTCTCCCCCAAGCTTAGTGTCATCTGCAAAATCCCCTGGCTCTGTGAAAGGATATCAAGATGGCTTGATGGTCTTATATGGAGAGATACGTGCATCAGAAGTTGGAGTACCAGAACTGATATGCCCAAAGCTATCAGTTCAACTGGACCTTGTCTTTTTTCATCTTCCCGAGGACATCTGGAAATAATAGGATAAAGGTGAAAGGATCCCTTTCCCATCTGATCAGCAAAGCATCTTCCCTAGGAATGCAAAAAAAGTCACCTTATGTTGACACTAGCAACCTACTGTGTCTGGAGACAGGTTGTCAAGAGGAGTGAAGGGGTAGGCCATTGCCAAAGGAGGGGAGAACAGGTACAGATCCTGTAAAAGACTCGTGATAGCAGTATCAATCCTGCTGTCCTTGACCAGATGAAGAATATGCATTTAACAGCAGATGAAGGGCATCTCCACTTTTGAAAACACAGTCTGAGTCAGGAGCCATCTGGTGATATGATTAAGACAAGAAAGGTCACTGACGTGAGAAAGGCAGATGCCTTTCTTCTTACTCAGAGATGGGTTATAAAACTCTAAAGATCACGTTGAAATAATTCAGAAAGGGTAATTTCTTCACTGTTGACTTAAAAAGGCCATGACCCTGTTGAGCTCAGGCCTATGATTACAACTTATCTCTGGAGTCCAGGGGTAGCTTCTTGGCAAAGTGAAGGATTGTATCCCACTGTATCATATTCTACCAAAAAAAAGTGTGGTAAATGACTATACAAAACTGTAGGCTAGCTACTGCCACTACTAATGATCCTATGGCAGGTGGATGGAAACAATACTTGAATCCTTTAGGAAGGAGGGGGAGAAGTCTTTGTAGAAGCAGCTGAGATGAAGGCTGGTCTTCCAGAGGTCCTTGATCAGTCCTTATTAATGGCTATTGCTAAATGGCTCTGAGGGAACAGAGAAAGTATGCTGAATAACACTGATGTTCCAGGACTATTTCCAGTGGAATATCCAAAGTATCAGCCACTCTTAAGAAGTTTCTGAAAGTCACTGAAGTTATCAATAGCAGAAAATGCTGATGGCGTAACTGTTTCATCTGGTAAAGATGAAATAGAGATGGAATAAACTCATCCTCATACTCTTCCAGGAGATATGCATCACCACTCTGTGGGTCTTGGATGAATTTGTGAAGATAACTGGCTGTGACAAGTATACTACCTGAGAGAGTTATCCAAAAGGAGCTAAGTTGTTCCTACGTCTGCATCTCACATAAGGAAAAGAATATGGATTTTGAGGTTTACAGGTGGACCTGTGTGGCCAGAATTGTATTCCATAAGGAAAAAGCATATGATGCCAGAGAGGTAGAATCCAAGAAGCTTATGGTCTTCAGAAACATGTCATCTTTGATTACAAGAACTTCTTCCAATGTCCCTCTTAGAAGCCCTTCTCCAAGGGCGTCTTTTCCTTGTTCCTCAAAGATGTTTCTATTCCCCCCTCCCCCCGTTGATGATGGTTATACCAACAAGTAGTATTCTTTTAAGGGAGATACATATTTCTAAGAGGTTAACACTGGTTGAGGAGATCCAGCAATATCTCAGAGACCAAGATTGGTGTTGGAAACAGATGCATCAATATAATCATACCTCTTGCTCTTGGTACCAATACCTGGAGAGACAGATCCTTCAGCTAAAAAGAATATCCAGGTCTGGTTCTGGAATCATTAGGTCAGAAAGCCTTGTGAATACAGCCGGAGTCGAGGACCTCTATACTAATGAAGATGGTGTTGACTATACTGGTACCAAAAAAGATACTTCAAAAGACTGAGGTTTTTTGCTACAGCGGTGTTTCTCAAAATAGGTCCCAGGGCCTCTTTGAGAAAGCTGGTAACAGGCAGCTCTGCTTTTTTATTTATCTAAAGCAGCGTTTCCCAAACTATGGGCTGCGGCACGCTACCGGGCCACGGGAAAAAAATACCGGGCCTCAGCGTGGCTGCCAGGGTGTTCCAGGCTCCTGGACTGCCCATGCAGCGCCAGGTTCCCCAAGCCCTCAGCTGGGCTGGGCGGATTCAGCCGTATGTTTCAGGCTCCTGGCAGAGGCATAATGAGGGTTACCAGGTGAGCTCTTATTGCAGGCTGTGGAGTGGGGGTTGGATATGGGCCGCAAGGAAGCAGGGTCGGGGCACTGGAGCTGCCTGGGGGAG